TAAGACCCCTGATCCCTCTTTTTCCCTCCTAGGCAGCATACAAACACAGATCAGTTTGATTGGCTGGCTCCCTGGCTGGTACTTTCCAGGTAAAAAAAGAGACAAAACCAGAAGTGAACAAACCCTCATTGTTTCTGGCTTCATTTGTCACAGAGGAGAGGGAGGAATGAATGTGTGCAGTTGACCTAAGTGCTTACAGCCATAGATGGATAGGATCTTGACTGATTCAGCAGAGTCCAGCCAAGATTTGATCCATTTATGGGCAGGCTGGTAGTATTGAAGTCAATCTATCTGTTGACTTCAGTACAACCAGCCTGTCGGATTTTGTTGATATGATCATATGATGTTATAGCCACCAGCAGTGACAATTAAGTTCTGCTGGTAGGGAAGGCTCCCCACTGGCAGGACACAATAGCACTGCAGGAAGGATTACTCCATCAACACTGACTGTGGTGGAAGGAGAGAAAACTGCATAATATTTTGTTTTTGGGGTTTTTTTTTGGGGGGGGGGGGGTAATACAATTTCAGTATACTGTTTTACATAAAGGGTCTGCGTATATGCATTTAATTGTATTTTCAATTTCAATGTAATAAAAATAAGTGATTTATCATATATGGAACATATAGACTGCTTGGCATTTCTTATATAAATGAAATTAAAAGTCTTGTAAAAAGCAGATGAACTAATGCAATAGAATCATTATAATATTTTTACCTGGCTGGTTGCTAAATAACACAGTTCCTCTTGTTTCATCATCAGTGAAAAGAACAAGCATAGGCTGTTTACTTTCATGGTGGTCTTTTCCTGAGGCAAAGCGGATATTAGCATCAGCTGGTCCTCCTCCCAGACTTCTCACTGTTACAAGAATGCCCTGATTGTTGCTGTCATCATTCCAAATGCGAACCTGTTTGGTAAAAATAACCACAATTTTTATGCCACTATTAATATAAAAAATGTGTTTGGACCTGTTTGCAGAACAGCATCTTAATGGCTTGATTGTAGCAAATAAAAAGGTATAATTGTTACATGCATAAAACTCCTGTCATATGCTAAAAATTGTATAATATCAAGGTGAATACACACACACACATTATTTTATACATTAATGTAAAAAAAGCATGTAATACTCACAGCTTGTGTAATTGAAAAAACTTCCCATCCAGGAGAATAGATTGGAACAAGTTTTGATGACAGCAGTTTTCTTCCTTGTGGCAAGTGCATTTTATTTTTATCCAAAACAAGATGCACACTTATCTAGGAAACAGAAATACACTAGTTAAACTCCATGACAACAAATGAGGAACTCTAAGCATAACAATGACTAAAGGTGGCCATGGATAGGTTGACATTTCAGCAGGAACAGGCCGAATTTTGATCTGTCAAATGAAAACATTGCATAACTTTTGTCAGTTAGTGGCTACAGCCAATCAGCTACAGCCGCTTATCAGTTTATTCTGACAGTGCTACTTCGCTCTGCCAGAATACAGTGTCTCAGCGGGAAGGGTTCCTCCATCCACCTTGTTTGTGTGGATGGGAGAATCTGTCAAATTGTTTTCATCCATCGACTGGCTGAATGGAAAGAAAAATTCTCATCTATTGACAGCTTTAAAAAATAACAAAATTACATTACCTCACCTGGTAAGCAGTGAGTCATATCCTTTATCTCTTTAGGAGCTTGCTTTTTGGTGCCTCCTGTTGGCTTTTACATCACTGTAACTGTGTACTAAAGAGACTTAGCAGCTGGCAGGAGGAACTACAGTATGCAGTAGGAGACAAGGTATCTGGCATACCCCATCTTTTTAAGAGAGAGTGTATTTGAGTCATTGCCCACTGGAAAGGTAAGTAATAAACATCTTTTATAGGAAGGAATTCAGTTTTACAAGTCAATGGAGTCACTTTAAAACTACTGTCAGACTAAAAAGCAATAATTACAAGCACTTTTTGAAGCTCAAACTAGAACCTTTCTATTGGTTTTGGATAGAAAGAGGTTTCCCATTTACTCAGTAAGAAAGTAATCTTAATGGGGTCACACAACAAAAAATGCAGAAACAAGCTTTTGTTGCTGTCTGTGTGCTTAATAGAGAAATTTTCATTCAATTCTTGTGCTGTCAATCATATAGGTAATAAGAAGGAATTATCCCACTGGAGACATTGACAGCAATAAAAGTCTGATAGAGGTTTTAATTATTGTATCCAAAGATAAAAAAAACAATGCTTGGACTTTTATTTTACGCTATTGCTGCTCCTCACCTGACAGAAGTGATGCCTTTTGAAATGAGAGTAATCTGTAGGCTTCGGTTTCAGTTTGAAAAGATGCAGCTCGGCTGTTAGAATTTTCTCATTTTTAGTCACGGTCGAAAGGTTGAACAGAAAGTACAACTGGTCACTGTGAACTGAGATTAGAGATTTTGACTTTATAACTACATTCTATTTCAAAGTGTAAATTAATACAATGTAGGAGTTTAAAGGAGTTATGGCTCCTTTGCCCATAAAATTTGTTTGTAAGAACAAGACATTAAAGAAAAACATAGCAATGATTCACATTTACTTAAAACTACACTAAATGGTAACTTTGAAAAAAAGAAAGCAAAAAAGGTAAAAAAAAAGAATCAACATCTACAGCAATCATAAGTCTTACCTTTGTCAAAGAAACTTCTAACGGTGTTTCCCTCTAGAAGATTGGGATCCTTGGTAACACCATCTGCATCAGCAATGGTATTATAAAGATCAATCATATATTGAGGTGGTTGCTTAACATGATGTAGAGAATGTGGGGGGTCATCAATTCCAAAAACTTTCAGCAGTCTTCTAAGAGCCTCAGATCTTATTTGTGTTGGATGCTCTGCTGTGATAGCAATGTCCCTTAAGTTTTCAGTGGGCCGTGCAGTACATCCATGTACAAAAATAATTAAAAAGACCAAATCCAACATTGTTGCGTCTACCAACTTCTCAGGTTGCAGCTTTGTCAAGAAACTTGTGGTGAAATGATCGCCGGTGGGCTTACTGACACAATTTATAACAAATCCACAAGACAGCTGCCTATAAGCTTTAAAACAAGATAGAATTAAGTCAAATATGCAAAACAGCAATCAGTAAATGTAAAGAAAGCTAATTGCAGTGCTAACAAGGTGTGAAGCAAGACCAGCAATGCTCTGTTAGCAATTATCCTACAGTACACAGTTTATGTGAAATTGGAAGCTGTTATCCTGTGTGCTTTCCTTATTTTAAAGGAAAATCAGGGAATCTTGTATAAGAAGAACAAGCAACAAGATTTAAACACCTGGAGAGGATTGATTTGTTTATCATTTTTCTGGACTGAATGTGAAATTATTCTATTGTGCATGGCTGAATGAGGACTGTTTGCTCACAGTGGGAGACTAACTTCCTTGTAATGAATTTATTAATGGGGCAAACAAGAGAAACACTGACTTGCATGCATTAAACCCTGTTGAGCAAATAGCAAGCACACCTAAGGTGGCCTGATGTCTAAGTAAGACAGATATACTACAAATTAGTTACAGCCTTAAAATTACATACAACAATCTGTTGATTTTAGCTGAAATCCTTAATTGGAAAGATGTAAAAAGACAATAGATTTTTTATTCTTTTACGACTACACCATACTTTAAGTCATAATATATGTAGCCTAGGGGCTCTCCTATCTGGTTTCTAAACTGATTTTATCTGAATATGTTTTAAAGTAGCTTTCAAATACACCAAACAAACACCATTTTATGTGTCTATGAAGGCACCAGCTTTTAATGGCTGTAATAGCAAGTATGCATTTATTTTTCCTTTATTTCACTGACATTGTAGTTTAGATGAATAAAGAAAATCACAGAAACAATATGTTGTTTTCAAGAGCACATCTACCACATTCTGTTGATTATTGCCTCTGGCAGCTGCTATTGTGCACTGATATGTGGATTGGACTGTGCATTTTCATTGACTAGATCAAAGTATCAAAAAGAATCTAATGAGAAACAAGACTGCTTGTCTGCATCATTGAATCTTGTCTCTTGTGCAACATTTTTCCATTGTTTTCTAATCTACAATCATTATGTGTTTTAACTTCTTCTGCTCTACAAACTGAATGAAGCATAGAGCAGGGTCACGCCTAAGATATTATATTTAAAGTTATTTAACTTCGTTTACAGTGAAAAAATTAGTATAAACAAATACACTACTGTTGTCCCATTCACGGTACTATGAAGACCTAATGTTTTTGCTGTAGTTTGCACAGTATTGTGCACTGTGGAACCAATAATAACAGAATATGAGACTCTCTTTTTGTGTTATTATACATTTCCTGGTCTTTGTATCTGGAAAACGTATCCAGGAAGTTCTAAGATTTAGAGAATTTAAAGTGTTTCTCTACACACATCACACACCTTTATGCGATCATAGAGAATGTTTCTACACCATAAGAAGCCCTACAGAAACAAAGGTGTCTACAGACACCAAAGGGCATATGTATAAAGCATTGAAAAAGACTTTCATCAAACATTCTCTTGTGGGGAATCAAAAACTGTAATTTAAAACACAAGCACCAGGAAGATTTAACTGCAATGAATGTTTGCTGAATGTCAGATTCAATGCTCTATAAATATGGCCACAAGGTTTAAGGTGATTTAACCTCCCTGGCGGTATGATTATTTCAGATTTTGGTGCTGAAAGCGGTACCATTATTTTTTGCATGGAAATTTGGCATTTTATATTGTAGGCCTGTAATTTTTAGGAATAACTCACTGAAATCTGTCCGAACAAGAGTCTAGTAAACATCCCGGGTAGGATAAAACTTGAAACACGAAATCATAAATTATAATTTAATAAATAATCATAAAAAATAATAATAAAATAATAAATTTAATTCAATAATATATAATCAAACCAAAAACACAGAAATTTGAAATATAGCGCCAAGTTCGCACATCACTGAGCAAAGTCGCAAAATCATTTTCAGTGTCTGATGACGAATTTCCCCACTAATAATTATCACTCAATTCTGCAAGTGGTTCTGATTTACTATCGCTGTTCTCTAGCTGGTCTAAAACCACTTTTGACCTAATGGGACGCTTTTTGGATGCCATGGACATTTCTTAGTTTCAAGGCAGAAAGAACAGTAAAAATGCAGGCAGGGCACAGGACAAAGCACTCGGGACAAAATGTATGTGAAATGGTTTGATACAGTAATGTTTTACTATGTGATTTTAGTGTATGTCACTTTTTGTCATTTTCAAATTCCCCGCCGTTCCGTCCCCTGTACGTCCCGACGCTCGCAGTGGACGGAACCCAGATGACAGATGCCGGCATCCGCTGGATTACATTGCCAGGGACACTGCAGGAGGGACATCGCGGGATTGCGGAGCAACGCCGCATGGTAAGCCCGAGTGTAGCTCAGGGTTACCGCTTGTGGTACTGAAACTTTACCCCGAGCTACACTCGGGAATACCGCCAGGGAGGTTAACTGATTATTTACCATAGGTATTCCAGAGATATTAGTATTATCTGGTTCTGCTAAAACCCTGATGGCAGACTGATGGGTAAAGGATATTAACTGGTATGTATATTTTGTTTTGCAAACAACCTTCTGTTTTCCATTGAAAAAGTTACACCAGAGATTTTTCCCCGGACTCCTTAACTGCTAATGTGGTTATGATCCCTAAATCGGATCGAGATCACTCTTCCTGGGCAAATTATAGGCCTATCTCTCTTATCAATATCGATATGAAGATTCTTACTAAGATCTTGGCTACTCGATTGAATTCCTTCCTTTCTCGCCTGATCAAAAAGGACCAGGTGGGATTTGTTCCCCACAGGCAGGCCGGAGATGCTATCAGACGTATTTTACAATTGCAACATTTGGCCCATACTCGTAAACTCGATATGATGCTCTTATCCTTGGACATCAATAAGGCCTTCGACACTTTATCCTGGCCATATCTCATATCGGTCCTTCACCGCTTTGGCTTGGCCCTTCCTTCTTACGATGGATCTCTTCGCTATACACATCCCCTCAAGCGAAGCTTAGATACTACAGATTTGAGTCTTCTACGTTCTCGGTTGCCAGAGGCACTAGACAAGGTTGCCCACTTTCCCCTTTACTTTTTATCTTAGCCTTGGAACCGTTGGCAGAAGCCATTCGTATACATCCTGATATTAAGGGGATTGATGTGGCAGGCTCCCAACATAAATTGTCTTTGTTTGCAGATGACATACTATTGTCAATCTCGAACCCGGGGGTTACTTTGCCCAATTTGCTCGCAGTTCTCGAATCTTTTGAAACCCTTTCAGGTTTACATGTCAACCCAGCTAAATCAAGAGCTATGTCAGTTACCCTCCCAACATCACTTTTGACTACTTTGAAGCAAACGTTCCCTTTTCAATGGCTTTCGGCCTTACCATATCTAGGAATTAAGCTTACCCCGACATATGACGGACTGTATCAGGCTAACTTTCCCACTGTCTTTCATGAGTTGACCGAGCTATTGTCCTCTTGGTCTCATTTCCCGCTTTCATGGTTCAGCAGAATTAATGCAATCCGTATGACCTATCTCCCTAAACTACTTTACCTATTTCGTGTTTTGCCAGTTCCAGTACCTTTGCATATATTGCATATCCATCAGCGAAAACTTCTGTCCTTTATTTGGAGCTCCTCTCGACCCAGAATTAGCAAACATATCTTATTCTCACGACGGAGTGCGGGCGGGTTATCTGTTCCAAATCTCCAGTCTTACTATTTGGCGGCTAACATTGCCCCCTTAGCTCATGTTCATGCATCTCACCACTTCCCCCTGTGGGCTGTTGTAGATATGATGGACTCTCACCCGATACCGCTCTCCTCTTTGCCATGGCTTCCTATCTCTCAACGTCCATCTACCCTTAGCCCGACGCTGACGCTTTCGCTACGTCTTTGGGATTCTATAAAATATTCCGCTGGCCTTATCTCTCCTCACCTGCCGCTCTTACGTCTATTGCATAGCCCATTATTCCCTCCAGGTAGGGATAATCCTAGACAGTTTGCCTGGTGGCAGGCGCATGGTTTTTATGATGTTCACTCACTCCTATCTCCCACTAGATTAATTACCTTTGACGCTCTGCGCTCCTCTTATAACATCCCTCTCCGAGAACATTTTGGTTATCTTCAACTTTGTCACTTTATTAATACATTAATACGTACGCATCCGGGACCTTATTGTCTGTCCCCCTTTGAAAGCCAGTGCAGACATAGACCTCATGCCCCGGGTTTGATCTCCTTGATTTATTCTTCTATTATATCTTATAGAACCCCTCCAGTTCGCTCCTATCATCAGCGTTGGCAGTCTGAATTAAGGGGGACCTTGGATCAACAGGACTGCCAGAACATGACCCAAACATTATCTAAATGTGCTAGGAGTGTCATTATCCTTGAGAATGCCTACAAAATTCTATACTGATGGTATTATGCACCTGCTCGCCTAGCTAGTTTTATCCCTACATATTCCACGGTCTGTTTTCGGGGATACCAACAATTGGCTCACATCTGGTGGACTTGCCCTAAAGTAAGCAGATTATGGATTAGGGTGTATGCCCTCCTCCGCACTATCCTTCACACAGACATTAAGCGTAACCCATATGAAGCGCTTCTATTTAAACCACTGGAGGGCCTTCTCCATTCTGAACGGCAGCTGGCATCACACTTATTTATGGCAACTAAATTGACAATTGCGAGGTCTTGGAAGACTCCTGTCCTTAGTTTTGAGGCTGTCAAAAACCGGATGAACTTCATAATGGTTAATGAAAAACTGACGGCCATATTGTTGGATACCCATACAAAATTTCTGCAGATATGGCGTCCCTGGCTGGATATAGCTCAACCCTCAAGATTCGACCAGTCCCTTCTGTCGATACGAGGATGGATTTTGCTGTGATCCCCTCAGAGCCCCTCCCTCCCCTTTTTTTTTTTTTCTTCTGTTGTTGTTTGTGTTGTTCGTGTCTCTCTACTGTTTGTCTTTTCCTACCCTCCTGTTCAATCTGTCCTTAAACATATTTTACGGATTATGCTTGCTGTTTTATGCGCTACATCCGCAATACTATCTATGCAATCTAGATTGGTTTATAAACTCTAGGTTATGAACATGTACTATTTTTTGGAGAGGCCTCTTCTCGTGCCTCTCCCGTTTTCTATAATGTTGATGTAGTAAAACTTCCCTTTAGAGTTTACATTATCATTGACCCACAAAGGTTTGTTAACCGTTCCCTTCCAACCCCTTCCCCCATCCTTTCCTACAGGGAACCTATGTAAACTTTTCAGCTTATGCCTTTATCGATGCATGCCTTGAACCAGCTTCCCTTCATTTAATACAATTTATAACTGTTGGTCATTGAATCTATGCTCTGAATGTTTGTTTATCTTTGCTTAATATTCAATAAAGCTCTTTGTAAAAGAAAAAGTTACACCAGAGATAAGAGCTATTTTACATTATCATGGAATTCATGATATACTTATGCTCCTGTCAGATGATCGAAAGATATTCTGGAGGGGGTTTAATTTCCTAAAATTTGACTATTATCTAATACCCATACTATATCCATATCCAACTACAATGTGTGCTTTCGTATTACAGACATACATTTATATGAAAGTATTTATTTTCTGTAGTCAGGTTAATCCTTAATGTATTTAAAGCAGAGCTCCAGCCATTTATGTGTGTTAAAAGCTGCTACAAAAAACTATTGTTGCTGACTTTTAATAAACACATACTCACCTGTCCCAGGGTCCAGCGACATGCTCGCCTGTGCCTTCCCTTCTCTCCTCTCCTGGTGCTGGCATCTCAACTGTGGGCACCAGACTGTGACAGCTTGCGGCTTCACAGCTGGGTGCCCACTGCGCATGTGCGAGTTGCGCTGCGCATTCTGATTGGTCAAGCAGTCTTTTAGAACCTGTGAAGGTTCCCAGGAGACTGTGGGAAGAAAGAGGGGGGCCAACTTCCGGCTCACTTTGCCGCGGCTGAGTCAGAAATGGGAGCGGGTACCTGTCAAAACCAGGTCTCTGCTCCCCCTCCCAAAGGTGCCAAATATGGCAGTGAAGGGGGGGAGGAGGCAAACAAGCTCAGCTTCAACTTTTGGGTGGAACTCCGTTTAAATGTCCAGGGGTAATGAAAACCCTTGTGACCCTTGATGCTTTAGTATGCACTGGTTCACTCAACAATAAAAACAATAACTTTTTAAGTGCTTTGCACTTCAAAATTATTTTTATATCTTTATTTAAACACTAATGGGGCCTTTATTTTGTAATTTGTTTAAAAAAAAAAAAATCTTAATTTTATTAACCATTTCCATACCGGGCACTTTTACCCCCTTCCTGCCCAGGCCATTTTTCAGGTTTCAGCGCTCTCACACTTTAAATGACAATTGCGCAGTCATTGTACCTGTTTTGCCTCAAAACAAAGTGTTTTTAACACTACTACAAATCGCTCACTAATACACGGATTAGGCTTAATAAATATTAAAGCAAAACATGATTTATTGAAGAAGTTCTGTTAGTATAATAACATAAGAATTGTCAGAATTGCAAATCATATTTAGATCATATTATAGCAAGAATAAAGCATCAATACATCACCGGATATTGTAGCATCACCCACTGCCCAGTGACTGGGGGACTCCAACAGTCAGCAAAGGGGAATCCGGGAAATCACCGCAAGGCACGTCTGCCGCATCTTCAATGAGTCCCAAATTCCCCTAGAATCCCCCGTCTTTTATATACATAGTTTGGAATGTCTTTATCTACTGCCATGCGCAGTATCTCCTGGTTATATAACGTCATGTATGATTCTGCGGAGTAGTTAGAGTCAACGCGTGATCGGCTGTGCCATCACGCGTAGTTACCTATTTTGATGGAATGCACATCTGGTGAATATCAGCCACATCTCTGGTTTCAACTGGTTTAATGTACACTTCCAACATGTTATTTTGAACTCCAGTTACCCATCTAATGGTTATAATCGTTAGCATTATGACAGTTGAGTGTCAATCACTTCTCATCCATACATCCTATACACTCATGTCACATATGTATCACAGTACCCAAACTAAATTTTTTATCATTTTCTTCACACAACTAGAGCTTTCTTTTGGTGGTATTTAATCACTGCTGGGGTTTTTATTTTTTTTGCTAAATTAACAAAAAAAGACCGAACATTTTGAAAAAAAAAAAAACACGTTTTTCTTTGTTTCTGTTATAAAAGTTTGCAAATAAATAATTGTTCTTCATAAATTTAGGCCAAGATGTATTCTGCTGCATGTCTTTGGTGAAAATAACCCAAATTAGGATGTATTTTTTAGTTTGTAGGAAAGTTATAGAGTTCACAA